ACTTGGCATTTCAGCCAGCATCCTATAAAAAGCCATCCCGAGCAGCACAGCCCCCTCCATGCCCACCATGGATGGGTGTGCAGCCTTGCCCAGAGGAAAGGCCAGCTGCTGTGGGGGCTGCTGCCAATTTCTTCATCCCACTGAAACGATGGGCTGCCCTGGGTGCCCTGTGGACCTGCAGGGTTGCAGAATGGCTGAGGAGCAATAGCCATCTATAATATATTGTTTATAACACAATTATTTGTCACAAGCCAGGTGTATGTGCTCCCACATGGGCTCGAAAGCAAGGGAATAAAGCAAAGGCTAATTAAAGCCATTGCTACTGTCTGGCTGTTTGATGTGTGTTGGGAAGGGGACAGCTATTAACACCCCAGCTTCAACTTAAGTGAAGGGCACTCTGTCCTTACTGCCCCTGGGTGGACCAACCCTCCTCCATCCTTCCCCAGCATCAGTCCCCACTTTGCAGCCCATGTGCTGCCCAGTGATTCAGCCTTAGCGCTCGGCTGGAGCGAGGCAGGGCTGTTCCAAATGCACTGGCCTCCAAAAAGACCCTGGAGCACTCTCTCCTTTCCTGTTGCAGCCCCGCAACCCTTGAGAACGTGCTGCATCCTGGCATCCCCTTTATTTGGGGTTTTGCCAGCTCTGATTTATGGCCAAGTCCAGCTCCAGTGCCCAGGGCTGGGAAAATCCCGACAGGACTAGTCACTCTCCTGGTCCCCGTGTCTGCTGCTGTGCCCCCCTCTCTCTCTCTGTCGCTTCCCCAGGCATGGGGTCTGGCCGCGGGTGCCCGCAGGGAAGGTTACCCGGACACGTGCCGGGCGGCTTCACTGGAGTGTGAACAGCAGGTCGGTGTTTGCATTCATTACAAACCCATTAAAAACTGGCTGGCTCAGCCCTGGGCAGGACCAGGCTCAACGTGCAGCTGATCCTCGGCTCCTGGCAGTCTCCAGAGACAGAAACCACTCCTTGTCTTACCCTGCAGGTGTGCTCAGCAGGCAGCAGCCGCAGGTGAACGGGCTTCCCGGCATCTCTCCTCCCTGCCTCGCCCACCCAGAGCCCATGGCGGAGGAGAAGACCTTCCGTTATGCGTTCATCATCTTGGGTTTCTTCCTGGTGATGACGGGGATGTTCATCATGAGCGTGGAAAAGCCCCACATCTACATCACCTTCTGTGTCATGGGTGTCCTGCTCATAGCTGTGGGCATCACCTGGAGCATGTGCCAGTGCTACCCAAAGGTAGGGTCCATCCCGCTGCAAAGCACTTTTGGGGGGCTTGAGGGCTCAGATGGGTTTGGGAGGCTTCAGCTTCTGTGGATGTGTAGCCTCAGGCTGTGTTTCAGCTTCCCCATTCGTAGGGTGGGGTAGCAGCAAATCCCAGGGAAGCCAGCAGGAGTGATCTGGAGGGGGAAGTGTTGCTTTGAGAGGCTTATGCTCTGCTGATGCCTGGAGGATGCCACCCCTCTCCCTTGCCCCCTGTATCCCTGCACCCTGCCCTGAGCCTGGGGCTTTGTTTCCAAGCAGGCAGCGGGTGATAATTCCAAGGGAATAAACTCGCATTAATCTCTCCCTTGAGAACCCTCCCCAAATCAGCCCCTTCGCTGCACCTGTGGGGTTTGGGGGCTTGATGGGTTCCCAGGACTTCCAAGGGACTGCCATGGCCAAGGAGGTGGGAGGGTCCTGCCCCCGCAGCACAGCCCGCACCTGCCAGTCTCCTTGGCAGAGGGCACTGCCGGCACAGAGAGCAGCCACGCGTCCCTGCCCTGGGAAACGGGTCTGGCAGAAAAGGTTTTTTTCCAAGGAGAGGACGGCTGTGGCACTGACCTGGGTGCTGTTGGATGGCCTGTTGATAGCTTGGCTGCACTCCAAAACGTAGGGCAGTAACCTCAGGACCCAGACCAGCTGGGACCTCTGAAACCGACTGTTCCTGGGATTGGAGTGAAGCTGACCCCACCTCCCCTCAAAGCTGAGCACAGCCCTGGTGAGGAGAGAGATGTGGCTTTGCCGCTGTGTTCAGGGCTCAAGGACAAGGCATCCTTGATGTTGTCCTAAACCACTGACATCCCCTGGGGCCCTGGGACACCCTCTGGGCTTGGGGACATATGCGAATCCTCTGCAGAAAAGACAATGAGAGTGAAGCTGTGCTGGATTCATTCGTCCCTTAATGATTTTCCAAGAGAGAGCCCATTTCCAAATAAGACATCCAAATGTGGGGGGAAATACCCTAAACCCAGCTGAAGGGACACTCCCACCCTTTTAGCACTAAGGAGGGCCGAGGGTCGCCCTGATGCCCAGCGCAGCCCCTGGGCTCTGCCTTCCTTTTCCCCCCAGATAACATTCGTCCCTGCAGACCTCGAGGCTGAGCGCTTCCTGGACCACAAACCCATGGTGCTGCCACAGAAGGACACCCGGTGGGTCCCAGAACCTGTACACAACATTATCTGCATGCTGTGGGGACAAGGGCAGTGTTTGAGATGGGGGACAACTGCACCAATTGCAGGACAAAATTCCAAGCAGGGGCCAGTGTGGGGGAGGCAAGGGCCATCTGTGTGCCCTTCTGGGGTCAGAGCCTGAGTGATGCTGGGGCACTCAAAGCATCCATCTGTGTTCCTGTGGGTATCCCTTGCAAGGACCCACTGGCTCCACTGCTCGTGTGGGAGTGATGTGGCCTTGGTGGCCTCTAAGCCACTCCCTCAGGTGATGGAGACCTGAATGCATGCACTTGAGCATCTTCTGGCTCCATTGTGCCCAGGTCCTGCTCAACACCCTGTTATTCCTTTGTCCACAGATTGATTGAACCCTGCCTCAACCAAGAGATCACCAACACCTATGAGAAGAGCCTGCCATCCTATGAGCAAATCCAGACGCAGGCAGTGGACTCAGCCCTGCTCCCACCCACAGCCCAGCCCAGACCCCGCAGCTGCTCCCAGTCAGCTGTGCAGGCCAAAGCTGAGGTCCATCGGGAGCAGGGGGGTGCTGGAGACCCCTGCGAAGACCTGGCACCTCGACTGGAAACAGCAGCAGGCAGCTGGTATGTGATGCCTATGAGGCAGTGGTGGGGTGTGGGGTGAAAATGGGGGAGGGTCAGACCTCCAGAGTAGGGGGAGAAAGGAAAGGCAGAGGGGATTTGCTGTTCACACAGCACTGAGCCCCCAGCCCCACTGGAGCCCAGGTGATGTCTCAGCCACAGAGAGACTCTGTACCAGTTTATTTCCCACTAGGAAATCTGGATGGCCTTTGGTTGCAATTTGCATTTTGCTTTTATTTCATTTTATCAATATAAGCAACTTCCCTCCCCAGAATTAACCCCTAATTCCTGGTCACATTTTGATAGAAATGAGGTGCCCAGCACGTGTCCCTCAAACCAGATGCCATGTATGATGCCCAAGCATTGGTTTGGGAGATACCAAAGGGCTTTGCAGGTGATGGGGATCACCATGCAGGCTTGCACAGGACTTGGGCAAAATGCATCTACATCTGGGGTGGGCATGCTGTTTACCTTCCGGGATGCAGGAAATGCTAGGGCAGCCACTGCTCCATGCCATGGACAGAAGGAACCTGGCACGCAGGTGTTCCCATAAAGGCAGGCACCGGGGGCTGGGATAGGGCCCTCCCAGTATGCTCCAGCCACCCAGCAAGGGGACTGGTGATGCTGAGATGCCTGAGCAGCGCTGAGCCCAGCAGTCACCAGCTCCAGGGAAAAGCCCCTCTCCTGCCCAGCTGTGTTTGGTGTAACTCCTGCGCCGCCCATCAGCCCTCCCTGTCGCAGGTGTTCCCATAAAGGCAGGCACCGGGGGCTGGGATAGGGCCCTCCCAGTATGCTCCAGCCACCCAGCAAGGGGACTGGTGATGCTGAGATGCCTGAGCAGCGCTGAGCCCAGCAGTCACCAGCTCCAGGGAAAAGCCCCTCTCCTGCCCAGCTGTGTTTGGTGTAACTCCTGCGCCGCCCATCAGCCCTCCCTGTCCCCGCAGCCCGGCCAGCCC